CCTTTTTTCTCTGAAATTCGTGATGTTCTGATGTTAAAGTACATATAACAACCTTCTACACAATTTTCCTGGCACAAAGGATGTTATTTCATGATGTTTCGTCCCGTACTCCATCTGAAATGCGCGTCACAAGATTCGAAGCGAGAGAATTTTCCACCGGTTTGATCGTGGTAACGTACGGCTTTTTCTCTCAAATTCACTGTTTCTTTTACATATATGTATATTAACTGAAACCACTGACTTAAAAAAGTTGTAATATGTTGTCAAGTAAGCAATCATGCCAATTCTGGCTGGATTTACTGCTGTAAATATTAATATCGAGGCATTTTCCGGAAATGATAACGTCTGGCGCACAAAATATCAGTGATAACGTACGGCACATTTTTTTCTGATTAATTGATTTTCTTTATAATAGAAAAGTTATGTTTACAAGACATAAGTGGATGTGTAGAACCAAATTAAGAAACTGAAATAAATAATATTAGTGTCCAGCTTTATTTGTCATCCAATGAAAGCGTTGTATTTCTTAAAAAAAAAATTGTGTAAATTTTCATAGAAGAACAAAAGTCGATGATATATCAAAGTCCGTTCATAGCAGCCTTTTATTTTTCATAGAACCGCGTTTGTGCAAATTGACAGGTATAGTGATGAAATAAAGTTAATACTAATGAAGCCAAATAAAGCTTGACACTAAGTATGTTTGTATTCATCCGTAGCTGTTCTACAGAAATAAGAAATATTCTCCGGTCGCTATCGCCCCCGTCGAAATAGAACAACACGAATGAACACTTACATATACTTCGTAAACAATAGTTTAAGAGTAGCGTAATAATTTTTAAAATCGTTCTTTCATAAAGATAATGACGTCATTTAAGCACATGAGCAGTATGGCATTAAAGGTTTCAGACGGGTTTCCGGCATGGATAAAAACATCGAAATCCAAATACGATTTGAAACTTCATTATTAACACTAGAAATTAATAAGCAAATTCCAATGTCACTCTTTTATTGCTGATACCTGCAATACTTTTTTTTTTAAAGAAATTATTGTTTTTGTTGGGGCGTTTGTTGAAAAAAAAACGCCAGAATATGATAGGCCAATTCTTGCATGTAATTGTTTTGATCAACTTATGACGTTTCTTTTATTTACAATTATGAAATCCGCAATTGATGCGAAGGGACGTTCATTTTTTAGGATATATGTATAAACAACGGTAATTGCGTTTCTGTGTTAAAAATCGATTTATATACAACAATTTTGCATTAATAGTTCATGTAATGTATGCTTTTTGTATGTATGTACATGTATACGTGTGTATGTATATGTGAATACAAGAGACCCATAAGTTACTGGTTTAAAGATCAATTTTGAAAATGTTCATTATGTAACTCGACCCCCCTTTTAGGCCTCAGTGAAAAAATGTCCTTTCTTGGACCCCAAACACATGTTTTCGTTTGAGAAACGTTGCTAAAAAAAGTGAGCACTTTTTCGGCGCTGCCCCTCATCCAAAAGATACATCAGGGGGTTGCCAGAAGGGGGATGTGCCCCCTTCTGTTTGGGGGGGGGGTGGGGTTGAAGAGGGGCGGTAGTTCCCCTCATCGCCAAGAAAATTGTGGACTTGCGAGAGGCTAAAAATGACCCCAGGTCGATCATAAGGTAACGTGTAACCCACGCTGAAAAGCCTTTGACTCTATCTCAATCCCTTGAGAAATTGCAGCACTTTGAAATAAATTTTGATGAAAAAACTCAAGGCAAAATAGTGATTTATGGCAATTTTGAGATGTCCCCATGTTGCCATGGTAACAGGAAATTTTAGACTGAGCATGTTGTTACAAAGGCAATGGTCCAGTCAACATTTGTGCCAAGTTTGATTAGTATTGAAACATTTTTCAAAGTTTCATAGCAGTTTGAACTTGTAACAGGAGGCTTTTTCAATGAAAACGGCCATTTTTTCACAATATGCTCATGAGGGAAAGGGTTACATGTTTATATGAAACTGTTCGTTATTATGCATGTTTTATGTCCTCATCGGCTTTAAAGCCAAATGGAATAAAATAAAATGTCTACTGTCTACTATAATAAAAAAATACTGTGAGGCTATGTCGCGTAATTATATCTGACGCCATAGTGGCACAACGTCACGCTAAATGGTAGCGTTTCAATATTAACCGCCCGTCTAATTAACAGAAATTTTTTTATTTACTAAATTCAATAAGTTTTTCGCATAACATTATTTTCTAACTCATTAAATAAACTCATTTTAGAACCTACATTCATTCATTTTTCTCTGTTATGTATTTTTCTTTCAATGAGCGACCATATTAAATAAACACAGACTCATCTCATCTGGGTGTAAGCTAGTCGCAATCAGTTTTCGTTTTGTAAATGTTGACGGGTTCAAATATTAAGATTTCCTTATCAGAAATTTGTTAGGAATGATTTTAGACTTTTTCTTTGGAAAAGAAAATATACCAAGCCGTCCGTACCTTTTTAACATTTTTGCTCTGCTGAATGCGTTTCTTCTTTCCAATTAGGGGATAAGACCATAATTATCGCACAACACTGGCGAAATTTTATGTAAAGACAACATTACACAAATGTTTCCTTAATGTTGAGACTTTTCTTCCCATTCTGCATTTTATACAAAATAATCTCAAACTATACACGTGTGTTTTAATTGGTATATTAACAACGAATATATATTATGCCACCAGCTAGACAGATATTTATTTCCGATAGTACAGCATTGTTCAATTAATTATTTCTGACCGGACCAACATTTTTTTCAGATATCTATCATTTCCGATATAAAAATAATTCAGCTGATTGGACAAATGGAAATCCACCAAGTAGTAAAATGCGCCGTACGTTATCATTGATATTTTGTGCGCCATACGTTATCATTTCCGGAAAATGCCCCGATATTAATATTTACAGCAGTAAATCTAGTCAGAATTGGCATGATTGCTTACTTGACAACATATTACAACTTTTTTAAGTCAGTGGTTTCAGTTAATATACATATATGTAAAAGAAACAGTGAATTTGAGAGAAAAAGCCGTACGTTACCACGATCAAACCGGTGGAAAATTCTCTCGCTTCGAATCTGGTGACGCGCATTGCAGATAAAGTAAGGGGCGAAACATCATGAAATAAAATCCTGTGTGCAAGGAAAATTGTGTAGAAGGTTGTTATATGTACCTTTACATTAGAACATCACTAATTTCAGAGAAAAAAGTTAAAAACATACTTTTTGGCTGCATCCGCCATCTTGTTTGTTTGGGTAACGAACGGCGTGATTCTCCCCCTTGATTTTGCTGATCGTCAATGAGCAGATGCGGCATCGATCCTGCACAATTTTTCCTTATTACAAATGTGTTGTCAGAATATTGTGTACTATCCTTTATACGATTGTTAATAAGATAACTCGCTATTTCATGGAGGGTATATCTAGCGTCATCCTTCTCGGTATACTACACTTTACATCAGCATCGGTTCTTATAAGTTATTACGGAATAATACATCTGCCAAAACAGTTCCTGTCTTTTTGCTTTTCGTTTTGAAGTCGCACCAGCTTTAATAGTAAAGATATTTGGTCCCCTCTATGCGTTATTACAGGCAAGACCGGACACCTAAGTAGAATCCCGAACAAAGTAACAAAGCATAGATCAAGGAACCTAATTTAAAAAATGTTTCTAATTAACCCAAATATGCAGATTAAGCCCAGACTGTGCCAGTATTTGTATTAAAATGGCGATTAACCCTTATCACGCTGAATATTGGAAGGTATAACCCCAATCCCTTATGCATAACCTATGCTCTGAAGAGTCCTACTTTTATTTCTTCTTATGTATCATTAGCCTGTTCGTGCTCTGTCTTGCGTCCTGTCTTACTTTTGTTTGGGGTCCTCCTGGGCTCCTTGCCACTGGTTCTTGTTCCTGGGTCTTACGGGGGTTGCGTTCATTGAACGCCCCCTTTCCTTGTTGATATTGTTTAGCATATTTCATATAGTGAACTAAAGTTACTGTCAACTACATTAAAACTGATGGTCTTGCGTTTAAATCCAAGAAAGGGTCAACATTTCTTCGTTATTTTCCTTGTTTTAGCATTATTTATGTATCTCTAAGATCCCTCTTTTTTAAAGAAACGTGTTGATTATATCATTATTATAGGTATGTATTGGCTAATTAATGATAATTTTTATAATATTTGATACCTGATATATTTAAAGTATTGTTAATTCAAAACTACACTGTAAATATATAATATTTGATAAGATCAACCAATTTTCTTTGGAAAACAATTAAGGCAAACTTTTTATATTGTCCCCTAATTGGATTCTCTATGTAGGAAAAAGGTCAAACAAATGTTTAAAATTGGAGGTTTCTACTTTTACATATTTCAAACATTACGATACATGTACAAACAACAATTGTGATTTGTTAGATGAATGATTTTATTTGCTTCTTGAAAACAAAAGAAAGACATTTTTTTATAGATTATTGTGAGTTTCCTCATTTCCGAAAAATAAAACACCCTTTTTATCCATACTTTAGTTCAGAAAAGTGGACATACATGTTTCCTCTAAGACGTATAACTGACAAATATTGTTATTTGTTTAGTTCCTTTAGTGTCCATTTTGGATAGGGGGTGGGGGCATAGCTTCTTATTATTTGTCTGTCTTTTAATGTAGAGTCTGAAATTATAGAATTATGCTCTGTCTGTATTGCAAACAAGGCACAATCGTGGTTTTTTGTTGTTTTTTTTCGGGGGAGGGGGTGGGCGTGGTAATGGTCAAATGTCATCCGAAATTTAAGTGTCACTTGTGAATTGTGAATATTTACACATATATGTTTTCACTATACCTATTGCATAACAAATCCTTCTGCATTATTTATCTATCATCAATACCACAATAATATGACTTATTCTAAGCATTACAGTTTACTAAATAATTATACAATTTAACCATCTATTTTTACTTATTTTCTAGGTCACGTAATCTACGCAGCGGACACCAATTACTTGAGGTCAACAATTACCGATCACTTCTCAGAAAACCGAAACCATGTGATCAACTATGCCAACAAAATGGCCTCCAAGGAATTTATATACAACGAGTTTAAAAGATTCGGGCTTGAAACCTCCTATCATAACTTCAATTACAGCGCCTTAGACCGAGTATGTATCTGTGATTTTATTCTACCTTTCCGCTTTTATTAAATGCAAGTCTACGGTTAGAATATCCTTTATATAGATTTTGATACGTTATGTATGCAGTATACACGCTTAAAAAGTTAAATAGCAAAAACCGCTTATACACGGCCAGATAATTTTATTGATATATGATATATTTTTGTTGGGTGTTCAGTCGTTTCAATACTGCAAATGCCATATGGCGGTATGCCAAATTTCCACAGGTGCTCCTCTGTTCTTTACTTCAAAACTATCCTGAAGTAAGCTGTTTATCTCCAAAAATTCCAAACCCATGACGGGATTCGAACACATAGCAGTGAGGGGCAATTGTTTTTAAGGAAAAGACCTTGAACAGACGGCTAGGGACCTTCTTCGAAATATTTAAAAACGTATGTTAGATAAACAATGCACGTTTCTTTTCCTGAATTAAAGGAAAATTAGGTCCTATTTTTGTTGTTTTACTTATATTATCCATATTTAAAACTATAATGAACCTTTTTTCAGTATTAAACGAATATGGTTACACCTTCAGAACCACTGTAACAGATTATATATGTATGGGGCAACCGAAGTTTATGCACCTTGACAACATTTCAAAAAAGTATCAGATATCTAGATATCAAATCGTTTGCAGTTGTCAATAAATTTACAGTTATCACAGTATTGACGCAACGCAACCCCTGTATATTTAATAAAGATATGTTAGCAAAAGAGCTGTATTATTTGGTTTTGGACTTTTGGTATTATTTTTCTTGGACAACAGTTTGCTTTTTCAACACGATTAGTGTATTTTTAAAGCTTTCAGTTTCAGTTTACTGTATTGTAATAGACTAACTTCATTGATAAGATAATGGAAATAGTTCACCACGCGCTTATATGAGCTGTTTCAATTCTTATCCCTTTAATGCGTTTGCAACGAAATGCAAAATATTGAATTTTTACGATTCAATTACCGGTAAACAAAATATATTTTTGAAAATAGCTGATGGTTGTAATGTCTTTGTAAACAAATCATGTTTTGTTAAGGGTTAAACAGATCTCCAGGTTGTCCAAGAAGTGAAATCTTTTAATGTGTAATATACACTTGACATTATGGAAATTACATGGTTTTCAAACCGTCTTATGATAGTTCAGCAAAATTCATTCTTACTGAAATCAACTTTACTCACTTTATTCAAAATATGACAATTTGGATATTTTTTTATTGAATGGCATTTAATCCGAAAATGTTGTTTTTTTACTTGTAACATTATCTGTTTAAAATGATTATAAATAAAGAAAACAACTGAACACAACTGAAATCATTTACAGCAGCAATTACGTATGATTTTCTGCACACTTGGGCATAACAACCTTTTGGACAATACCTTCTAAAAAGTTGAACTGACCTTGACCTTGAGCTCTAAATGACCTTGACGGTCAAGGTAAAATGATTGAATTGAATTTTCAAAATTTGTTTTTTTACAAATTTGATTCATACTTTGACAAAACAAGACTTTCTACCAAACAAACATATTGAATAATTTAATTGTGCCCTTGACCTTCATTTGAATTTGACCGTTAAGGTGAAATTAATAAAATTTACATGTTTTCCATGTAACTGGCTATTACTTAGTTAATTATAAATAGGTTAACTTCATATTTAGACGAAACACCTTTTAGGTCACGAGCTACACGTATATTCAACTTAAATTGACCTTGACGCATGTATGACCTAAACATTGAAGGTCAAATTATTAAATTTTCAATAATGTTTGCCATAATTTGCTAAAGCTTGACAATTAATCAATGGATAGTATTCATACTTGGACAAAACAACCTTTTGGACAAGACCTTTAAAACTGTTGGAGGAACTTTGACCTTAGGCTTTAAATGACCTTGACCGTTGAGGTCAAATGATTGAATTTGCTGATGTTGTTATTTATGTATGGATGTGATTCATACGTGGACAAAATTAAATTTTCACAAAAAAGTCAGATATGACATTGACCGTTAATTGACATTGACCGTAAATGTCAGATGAGTGAATTTTGTTTATATTTTCTGACTTTGTCTTTTATTTATTGGAATGATTCAAAATTGGACAAAACAACAAGTGTGACTAGATAGACCTTAAAAATACAAGACAGACCTTATAAAATAAAAAAATAAAACCTCATTTTCTTAATTATTTTTTGTTTTTACACTTTTGTTTAAACCGTTTATTTGTTTGCTTTTATGTAAAGTAAAAATAAGTCAAGCATTGCCTCCTGTTCATAACTATGTATTCATGCGTATTAAAATGAACGATATGAGTTTATAAGATTTCATAAATATAATATTTATGTTGCTATTGCATATGTATTTCCTTTTTCTTTCCTTAAACTATTTTGCCCTTCACATGTACAAATATGCAAAAAGCCGGAAACCTTTCTAATCCGAACTTTCTTATGGTCTTGAAAAGTTCAGATTAGATGGGTTCCACTGTATTTTTTTTTCAGAGACCATTTGCAAATGTCGTTGGTATTCTAAAGGGCACAAACTTTGGAAAGACAAATGATAAAATTATCGGGCTTGCTGCACACTATGACACTGTGGAACAGACGAAAGGTAATTTCATATTTAGCGTTTGAAGGACAACGCTTGGATTAAGACATGCTATATAAGCTTGTCGGCTTTTGTTGATACCGAATTTATTTTAGCTTGATTGTGTAGGAAGCTTTAAGGTTATAAACACACTCTCAAATACGTTCCTGGAATCAGCAAGTACTGAACAGTGAATGTAAAATATGGTAAAAAAAAGATTAACATAAAACACGTGGGAGGAACTGTTACACGAAGGATGGAGTTCTTATGAAAACTTGTTTGGAATTCTTATGATAACTATCAAGGAGTTCCTGGAAAAGGTTACGGATTTCTGTGGAAAACTTTTCTATATACTTGGAGAACTCACGTGAAAAATGGCAATTTCTACCTTTAAAACTTACACTTTTTCGGCCGAAGGCCGTCTGATCTCACCTTGACTTCAGCTAAAATTAACATGAAACATGAAACATGTAAAGTCTCTTGTCAAGAAAACAAATGCCTGCGATGTTACGAGAAATGAATACACTAAGCAGTTTGAGGAACACAAACAATTTCTCCATTTAAAGAAATATAATGGTGGTTTCCTAACCTGACCCGCATGGGTAAGGTTAGGGCATTTAGATTTCACGAAAGTTTATAACAATGAACTATGGAAACGTTAAAGTACCTGTCAATTAAGCGACTTAGACTTGTTTAACTCTAACAATAGCCACAATATCTGGGTTTTTTTCACTTCCAGGGTTTGTTATTGTCAAATAACGTGTTTTAAAACTACTTGTTGATTCTGTCTGAGTCTTCATTTCGTTCAACATAATTAATGTATATTCATTATATTCATATAGTATTCATATGTCCCTAGTGTTAAAATTGCCCTGCCCCAGGGGCGATAGTTTTCCTTATATGTAATATGTATAAAGTATAAACTTGAAAAATCTTCTTCTCTGAATTGACAAAGGCTAGAGGTTAAATATTTTGCATGAGACTTTGCGAAGTGAACCTCTACCAAGATTGTTCAAATTATAGCCCTGGGGTCAAAATTGGTTCCGCCCCGGGGGTCATTGATTTTCATTATGTACATATAGTAAAAAAAAAACAGTTTTGTCTGAAGGTACAAGGCATAGAGCTTTGATGTTTGCTATATAATATCATCTGTAGGTCCTCTACCAAAGTTGTTCAAATTTTTCCCCTGGTATCAAAATTGGTCCTGCCCGGGGGCAGTGATTCTCATATGTACACATAGTAAAAACAGAAAATAAAACATTTTTTTTCTGAATTGGAGAAAGCAACAGCTTATATATTTGACTTGAAATGTTGTTTGGTGGACCTGTATCAAGATTGCTTTGAATTAATCTCTTGTGTTAAAATTTTGTCTTGCCCAAGGGGACAGTGACCTACTTTCTTGTCCTTTGATGCACAGCAGTGAAATTTTGACCATGTGCACAGTTTTAGTTGTAAAATTGAACTTTGATATCAGGTGACATAGATGTTGATGATGTGACCTACTTTCTGGTCATTTGATGTACAGCTATGAAATTTGAACCATGTGCACAGATTAAGATGTAAAGTGGACTTTGATATCAGCTGACCTAGATTTTGACAAAGTATCTTACTGTGTTGTCCTTTGATGTAGTCATGAAATTTAGGCTGTGTGAAATATGACCTTCACCACCAAATTTACTAGACTCAAGTGCATTGATATATTCCTACTCTGATCTTTTATTGGATTAACAATAGATTTAACCACTAATCTGATAATAAGAATTAGATAGGTCAGGGATCTATGCATTATGACAATTTTCAATTGTATAGAAACCAAACAAATCTGTTCCTACACTACTATTTAGTGTTGTATTAATGAGGTGGCATAGCATTTTTCCTAAATGCAATCTTGTTTTTGTTTTGTTTTTAAATTCCAATGACGAAATGTATAATCTTGATATTTATAATTACTTGATATAAGTTTTTTTTAGAAATTATTTGAAATACATTGCAGTCTCAGTCAACCCGAGCCTGCAAGTCTTATATAATATCGTTGTTTTCGGTGCTTCCGAGAGACTAATCCTTTTCCAGAACTGTATACTTAACACTAGTGTGTGCCAAGTGCCGTGTGGCAGCTGTAAATTGCCCCGTATTTCGCTTCTGTATTGTTATATTTTACTACTCCTTCGGATCAACGATTGATTATTGATCACTTTTGCATTATATCTCATGATTAGTTTCAGTGGAACCAAGTCTGTAACTTAATATTGTTGTTTTCAGTGCTTCTGAGGGATCACCCCTTTTCCTTTTTTTTTTATAAATTTATAAGTGAAATACGATGATCTTTTAATCGTTTTTGTTTGTCACAATATCTTTGGAAAACATTTTTAATTTTACATAATGCGCCTACCATAAATACGTGTAGAGGCTTTAACTTGTCATATGTTTTAAACTGGGTTATTGTTCTTTCAATAATGACAAGAAATAACAGGGGGGGGGGGGGTAATTTTAAGGGAGACACCATACTTTACGAGGTTCATGTATGTAAGTAGCGGCGCGGGGTGGGGTGTTTACACTTTATAAGAATCTTATCAGACGACATGTACTAAACATATGCCGGGTTGGTGCTATGCTGAAAAATTTTAAATTATTGAAGCTTTAGCAGAAATATTTTTGGCATTCTTTTTAAATGTTCATAATGGATGATATTTTCTATTTAAACCCTATTCCCAATTACATAATTATAAAACATGCGAATGCAACACTATAACATTATTAACCTTTATAAATTACTTATAAAAAGAAAAGAAAAAAAGTATTTAATACCTGCGTGTAATAAAAACTAAACAAAACGAAACACAACATTTGTTATGTACCGGTCATTTGTAAGCTTTTTTCTGTCCCATTTGAAGTGCAAAGAATACATGTCTGGAGAAAATATCCAAACTTTTTATATTTTCGTCTGTATCGGGTGTTTGTTAAGCAAGAAGTCATTTTTCCGTTGTATTCTAGTTTTGGGAGGGTGTTATAATTGACCAATGCGTATAATATGTAGAATATACATATCTTGTATGTTTTATTCACAGGAGTTGATGATAACGGTTCCGGCGTAGCCGCCATGTTGGAAGTTGCTAAGCAACTATCAGGCCAAAACAAACGAGGAGTGAAACGGAACAACACAATTATATTTGTGTCTTTCGACTTAAAGGAACAAGGTAAAATAATTTTATATATTTTATATCTAAATATAAATATCAAAAAAAATCTAAGTATCAAAGTACAAAAGTATGATTTGATTTATCAAACTACAAAAGTGTTAACATTATGATCTTTGATTTATCGAGGTACATTAGAACATATCAATAATAGTCTAATTGGGTGTTTCCTTAATTATTGAAGTGTTAACGTTTTAACACATTTGTATCTTTTCTTATGTGACTCGTATATACATGTAAAACAACAACAACAACAAAAAGCAACAACAAAAACGTGCATCTATCCTAGATTTTACCAAATTGCTCTTATATTCACAACCCTACCGTAATTAATACCACCTAACGCATTGATTCTTTAGAACACAAATTAGCACGTCTTCAAGCCATCATATTTATATTTTCTTGGATGGAAAATTCCCTATCAAGCGGCAAAATGTACATAAGGTATGACTAACCTCATGCATTACCTTCGCTTTGAACAGTTTTCAGATAGGCTAGAATTACTCAATCGGAACGTCCTCAGCTATAGCTATAATAACCTCAGAGTAAGTAGTTCTACCACGTGGTTTCAGATCATGTATACAGAATCAGAGTGTAATCTTCGATAATGTAAAACGATGGTATATATTTGACATCAAAAGAAAAATAAAGTCTGTTTCGGTACAATTATGATTTAAAATATTTCTGACAACCTATTTTAATTTAAATATGCCAATGATGTGCAATTTTAAACAAATTCGACTTAAAGTCAAATGGTTGGCATTTTATATTATCGGTTTCTACAATCATAATAATAAGTATACAAATAATATATTGTCAACAACTCCCAGCATTTAATTAATTTTTGTTTACATGTATAGTTTCTTAGCGAAGGTTAGACCGAAATACCGTCATAGAAGACTGACGGAAAGGGCCGATAAAAGATGCAAGTGCAGAATTCTTTTTAACTACATTGAAACATAGGTCAGTGGGATCAAATCCCAGAAGGGTCAACTTCTTTCCTTTCTTTTTTCTTTTCTTTTAACATTATCAATACATCTCTCATATCCCTTTAAGGAAGAAAAAAGTGTTGCGTTTTAATTATTTAATTAATATAGGAATATATTAGCTAAATAATGCTAAATCTTATAACAAATATAGTACCTGATATTTTCAAAGTGTAATCAAATCAAAACTACACGGTAAAATAATAAATATTTTGCAAGATCACTTAAACTAATATACTTAAGAGAAAATTTAGGAAACTTTGAAAACAGGCACATATTTTAGAATATTTTAGTTATTTTCTTAATTAGGCTCTCTAATTAGGAAAAATGTCAAACACATGTTAAATGGATGGGGTTATATTTATATTTTTATACATATTTCACAAATTTTGAGTACAAACAATCATTTTACTAATGTGGGTTGTTAGATAAATGTGATATTTGTCAATGAAAAACATATTGCATAGGGATGCTATTGTAAATTATTTTTGGTTCCTTATTTCTGAAAAAGGGTCCTTCTAACATCCAAGCTTAAGTTTAGAAAATTGGCCATAACTCGTACGGTAAAGTTTGTTTAAATTTTGCATACAGATGTCATCTCTTTTTAGGTATATTTCTGACGTATGTTGTCGATTTTTCAGTTTCTTATATAGTGCCTGTTAGGCTTGTCATACCTTAAATAGGTAAACAAAAACTGTCCAAAGAAGGAGAGATCGGCTTGGGGGGTTAATATGGTACCAGCCTACCTAAGTTAATATCTATTGCTTATTGTAATCCTTAAGCAGCCAAAGGTATAGGGTCTGATCCAACAGAACTTGATGCTCGGACAGAAATTAGTTGTATAGGTCTGTATTGCCATTACCATTCACATGGTCAATTAACTAGAACCTTAACATATATGTTTGATAAAATGGCTTATATTGTACAATTTTCCAAAATGTTTATACATACTAATACAATACATAATTGACAAGTTATATAAACAGTATAATTATGTAGATTTACAGGTTATATAGATATTACAACTATACATCTACATGTTCTAGAGTGGGTGAATACATATTTATATAGATAGTGAGTATACAATGCATTAGTATTTTTACAGAGTCAATAGGATGCAATTATTTTTTCCCACTGTGGTTGACCCCTTGGTTAATGAAAAATTACGGTGACGAGTACCAGTCCCTACAACCTCATGGAGTTATTATATTGGACACTATAATGGAGTACAAAACATCAAGTAATTCTCAAAAATTACTATTACCTCCTGGAGCAGAGGTTACTGTAAGTTGATGCTTTATTTTCTAATTAAAAGTAACAACCCTATTTTCGCCATGGAAAGTAGGTCCTAACATTCTTCCTTTTGGCTAAAAGACCTCTTTATAAATAAACAGGAAACAATTATTATAATTATGTGAAAGTTTTGACAGGACTGGTATGCATAAGTTAAACCATTGAAAAGTAGACATTCAAACACCAAAACCATATTACAAAAAGTAAACAAAGAAAAAGAAAAAATACACAACACAAAGAAGGAACTAACTGCTTGCTATATTAAAATTATGTAAAATACACATGTCTATTATGTAAGTAGTTTATACCGTAAGCTATTACACTATTAAACAGCCATTAAGAAAATTCCAAAATAAACAAAACCAATTTAATTTTCCCCTCAAACTTTCAAAAAAACTGATTAAAGTCACTTTTTGCGTCACATACTATCAAAATTCACGTTATACAGACTGCGTAACAGTTAGTCACAAAATAATTCTCTTAGAAAATTCAAACTTTCAGAGATCTAAAATAACGCATCATTATTTCCAAAAGCCTGGAAAAAGGATGATCCCTCGGAAACAGTTATCACAACAAAATAACATGAAAATTGCTCATTTTGATTAAGTAAGTACATAAGGGATAATTAACCAATGAAACATCCCTCACACTCCATAGCACCGGATTAGGAGACACTTAAAAATGCTGAAATCAATGATTCCGAATGACCAGAAAAATATATCAACTCTAAGTGAAGTACGTGGTAACTTTTTACAGCTGCCACACGGCCAACTCTACATAATATCATGTTTTATCTACTCTCATTATATTAATAAATGCCATTTTTAAAGGGGTATTCAGGCAAATTAATGACAAAAATATCAAAATTATCTTATATACTCAAATCACGCTAAAATGACATTTGTAAAGAACCCAGCATGAATTTCTATATAAATTTTGTATACATGTATTTTGGGTTTGAAGCGTATTTATATCTTTATAATACTGCACGTTTGTAACGTCGCTTTTCATTGGATAATCGTGACATTTGTATAGCTTTATATACACGGCTGCTGACAATTTATGAAGAAATCTCAATTAATACACTAAAATGATGCTTGCTGTATTATAAATTCGTTATGAAGGTTTCTGACAGGTTATATGTTCGTATATAAACGGTTGTTTGCAATATAACCGTTTATATATTAAATATACGGCCATATAACCTGTCAAAAATCTTTTTAACTAATATTAATAATGCACGTTTGTAACGTCGCTTTTCATTGGATAATCGTGACGTTTACGAGTTTATAGTTTTTTATTACCCTTCCAGATTTTTTCCGCCTTTTTGATTGGATATTGATCACCCGAAAGACATTGATATTGTAATATACACTAAAATTTCCCCGTTGGGTACCCCACATTGTAAACAACATGCGCTGTGGCAATGTGCGTACGGTTTGATTTTACGCGATGTAAATTCCGATTTACAAGCACTTTTAAACAATCAAATGATAAATATTTACCAAAATAGAGTAATGAAACATATTCTCATCAGTATTGAAAACAAATATGACCTTGTGAAAGTTTGATATTAATTCTCAAGAGACAACTCCTTTTCTCTTGTTATTATCCCTCATGTACAGACTCAATCAAACCGAGTCTGCAATTCTCTTGTAATTTTGTTGTGATAAATGTTTCCGAAGGATCACTTTGTTTCCAGATTTTTTTACATTCTTTAGGTTCGAAAGAAAATACGTCATATATCTATGTGACGTCATGTTGTGGTGAAGAGGTACTCTAAAGGGAATCTTATTTCGACGTTTCATTTGAAGTAGCAATGATTTATTTTAAAATCGTCTTAACTTGTGAGGGGAATGGTAATAAAATTATTATTTTGGTTTTGGAGTGATATATGTGGGTATATTACCCGCCAAGATAATATATCACCCTCGCCTAACGGCCCGGGCGATATAAAATCTTGACAGGTAATATATCCACATATATCACTTCAAAACCAAAATAACATATAATATACACGACTGTTGTCGATTCATGAACAAATGCTACTTTTTTCTCAAAAAGGATGCTTGCTGTATTATAACTTCGTAATAAAGATTCTTCACAGGTTATATGGCCGTATATAAAAGACTGTTTGCAATACAATGCAATACAAATGCCTAGCGGCTCGGGTTATATTGACAAATAGCCGTTTATATAGGGCCATATAACCTGTCAACAATCTTTATAACTAATAATATATGTAGAACGAAATTGAGACGCCGACAGAATCACCAAGTTGTTTTAAAACTAGTCATGTGACTTAAATAACCCTAGAAGTTGCAGTAACAGATATTGTGGATACTGTATGATTGAAACAAACCTAGATCATACATTTTACATGTTTTTTAACGTTTCCAGAGTTCACTGTTACAACTATTGTGAAATATTAACACTAACCTGACCCATGTGAGTCAAGCTAGGAAACCACCATTTTATTCTTTTAAAGGAGAAAAGTTTTGTTCCTGTGACTGCCTAGTGTTTTCTTTCATTCTGAGAACATTTACAGATTAATGAATGAAAAATTCAAAACGAAGAAATGAAAATATTTGCCTAAGTTTCCTTTTTAAGTACATGTAGTTTTTAAAGTAATAAAATGATATTTTTTCATTTCAATACAAACAAATATGAAATGCTATGAAGTGCAATACACCAGCTGCTTCACATAGTACTTTTAATCCCTGGTACCGAGTGGATAATATTGCATGATACCCCGATACCGGGGTGAACGCCGCTGTTTTTCCTTTTCCCTTTCCCTGGGTATTCCGCTGATAACCTTCTTTAGAGCGAACAATGTGTACAAATTTTTTTAGTTAAAATACCTTATCGAATAATGAAGTCAGAAAAGTGGGTTAAACAACTTACCATTATATATTTCAAAAAAGTCTAATGAACACTTAGATGACTCAGTTGTTCCATGACGCACTGAACTTATTACAATGATAACTTTTATTTTGATTCATTTTACGTTTAGCCATTAACATTAACGATTGATTATTAAAAAAGTCTTTTAAAGTAGATAGTAACAAACAAAATAAAATTAAAAAAAAAACATTATAATTTTTTACCAAAGTTTATTTCCAAACCATGTACATGTATAATAAATGTATGACTTTACCCTGTGTCTTCTCTTACTTATAATTGATAATTATACGAGGAGTTATCCAAAATTCGTGGACTGTTTAAATATCTATTGAAGTTCAACGTGCATTGTATTGTAATTACATTTTATCAGCATACCTTGTAGAATATTATCAGGAACAGTTAACTGTGTTAATAATTAACGGGAAAATGACGGACACGCAGAAATAATTAGAAAATCGCGCGATCATAAAATTTTGTTGTAATTTGGGATGGCACATTCAGAAACATTTGAAAAAAATTAGCAGGCAAACAGAGAAAATAAAATTTCATAATCATTTAATTTAGTGTTTTAAAGTGGCATAAGAGATTAATTTATGGACGGGAAAAACGGACATTTCTTTGAGAAGCAGTTACGGTCATGACTGCGTAACGTTAAAGCACCAGTTGTACGTTTTAATGACGTTGACTGATTGCGCCAATGTCGCCGACATGTGTTTATGTAAAATTAAATACTCTTGTAATATAAGAAGTTACTAACATATTTTTTTCCTATGTTTATTGGTTATTCACTCTTCAATGCAGTGTAAGAATTTCCAATCAATATCTCAAATATATTACGCAACAAAGAAAGTGCACGAACTTTTGGATAACCCCCAGTACATGTATTTTCAACTCAAGTTTGCATTAATAAAATGATAAGAAGAAAAATAGGGTTTTTAAGAGTGGGGAAGAATAATTTGTTTTTAATTATCTTTAAGCTTTGAAAGTTTGAAATTTTCTCTGAATAGTCCGAGTTAGTTTTATGGAGAAAGATTAATGATAGTTTTGCTATTTTTAGCTTTGAACGTTTAACGCTGTCATTAAATAGTCTTTGACAAACTTAGAGATACATTTATAGTTGTCTTAATAGTTTAATAACTGTGTTAACTCAGATTTCAAATCAATAAAATATAAAGGGTAAATTATAATATAGAACACTAAAGTGCCTTCTGTAATTGGAAAGTTTATTTTGTATTGTATTTGAATGTTCTTAATAGCAGTTTTGAAAGTTTAATAGCTCTTTTCATAATCTCATAATATAAACTTCGTCTGTATATATCGAATGGTAAATCTTTAACTCAGAAATATACAACATTATTTTTTTTCAAACTTGTAGTTTCATCAACTATTTCCAAAGTCGTTCGAAAGTATGAGTTCGGACAATTTTCGAGGAGATTTTCTGACTTTGATATATCGCAAAACCGCGGATGACTCACTTGCAACTTCACTTTTAAAGTCTTGGTCAGCTGCGAAGCGTCCTCAGTTTGAAATCGAATCATTTCCCTTACCATTTGTAGATGTAAGTTCCCTCAACGGGACAATGATGAGTTTGTTTGAAAATTTCCTTCGTAGTGACCACTTCAACTTCTGGCTTGTCAAAATACCGGCGATATTTTTGACAGATTCAGGTAAGTTATATAACTCAATGCGAATTCAATGTCACGAAGCTATATAATTATATCTTGATAAAAATCAACTTTAGATTAATTAAAATTGCTTCATGAAATATAAAATATGATAAACAAGATCAATAAGGAAAGGCGGCGTTAAACGAACGCAACCCCACACGACCCAGCAATAAGGACCAGCGGCCAGGAGCCAAGGAGGACCCAAAAAACCTTTATTTTTGCAAGCTCTAAGTCATATATATCATTAGATAAGTACCTGGTCTAGTACCGAAGACGTAATCAAGTTTAACCATGCTTCCATTTTGATTTGAAATGGTTATTTCTTCTCTCCTTCTGACATGTGTGCTAATTTTTCAATATCTAAGGGTATGATTACACACTTTTTACAGCGTAGAAAATAAGTTTTATGACCAGGTCCAAGGGGGTCATGCCATGCGCGCGCATCCTCAAAATTCTGATACCGCGAACACTTTTTCAACCGGTATTTTGAAAAAAAAACGAGTCATGTAAAGCAATCAGAATAGATTTGAATTTAATTTCTTTTGCAAATAAGATGTCCTTACTTCTAGTTTTGATATTCCAAATATCTTGACACAAGTCTTCCCTTTCTTGTCAGTACACGTAATTCGCATTGAATGCGATTTTGATTCTGGATACTGCGTATACCCGGTGTTGAAATATAACAGAAATTTTGAAATTGTCGATTAAACAGAAAATTTCACACAACTGAAAGTTAGTTCATTGTACAATCTATTTCACAAATATATTTTCAATCTTTGCTATGTTTCCTTTGTACGAAAAAATGTCTTTAAACTATTTACAGGAAAAATACATTATACTGTGTACACTCTAAAAAAATCAAGATACTGCGTACACATTTTTGTGTTATTGATTCTGTCAGCAGTCTAAGTTCATAATTGGATCAAATGGATAACACTGGCGAACAAAAAATAAAATAATAAAATATAATTAAAATAAAAAATATGATTTAAATTTTGTGATAAAGTATGCTCCCTTAAAATGTACATCCTAATTAATACTTTTAATATTTTTCATTAAATTTGTTTAATCATTTATGTAACACTCTAAACTGATAAATGTTTTCGTACATTGCATTTTAAAATAACAAACAAAATCAAGATGTTTTTTCATTCTAACACGTCAAAAAAACTATAGTTGGGCTATATTGGTGGTTAAATTTGTTCTCGCCTCAGTGTTTCTAATATTAGCGTTTTTAAAGGCCTTTTTTTAGTCAGTTTATGCACTCATTTGATATACAGTACTCTCTTTATCACATACCCATGCTGTTTTTGCGTCTCCGTAAAAAATGGTATTGCACGGTCGTGAATATATTTTGACGTCACGTCATATGCCTTATGTAAACACGACCACGCAACACCATTTTTACGGAGACATTAACGCGACACGCACGGGTATGTGATTACCAGCGTATATCGAATTAGTGTAAGTTTAATATTGAATTTCTTGAACGAGTTAAAAAAATATATTATGAAAGCCTCTTCAATATATTTAGTATTAAACTTAGACGACTTTAATATATTATTTATCATATACCAAATATAAAGACTGTTTAAAATGAAAGAATAACTATTTATCCTGTCACTTGTATCAATTTCGGCCCGATAACAAGGTGCCGTATATTTTTACTGATCTACGGCACTTGATCACGTGGTATGCATGTTTGCCGGACTACTTTTCAAGAAAAAATATATAATTCTTTACAGGCCTTTCCAGTGGTATAAAAAAAACTGTCGTTAAATCTTCTGTGTGTAGAAAAACGAACTTTTGAAACGTTGATAAAACTTTGTTTGTTTATTTTATTTCACTCTATAATTTTTCAAGCGAAATAAAAATTATTAAAAGTGAAATAAATGTAAAACTTAACTCGTTTGCGACATTAAAATAGCGTACTTGATTTGATTGTTTTGCACGTGCTGTTTGGCGCTTCATTGTGACGTCACGTAAACAATACTTTAAACGTCTGAACAGCGTTAACGACTGAATAAAAGATATTGGTGTTCGAATTCATTTTCTTAGTTAGACCATTTTCTTTCATTCTAGATAGTTTTCACAACAAAATTCGACAAAAAATTGTTTTATTCATCACATTTTTCAAACAAAATGGCGCCCTCAATGTGAAAATACACAGGGAGATAATAAGAACGGCGAGTGCATTGTTGTGGAATAATGCACGCTTCGGGCCTTCTTAGTTTATATAGAAACATTTCCGATAGTGTGATTAAAGGTAGTTTGCCTAATGAAATTCTTTAAAAAAACGGTGACAGGATAAATAGAATAATAGATTGGTGCCGTAGATGGAGAAAGTTTATCTGGCTCTGCTCCGGAATTTATTGGGTTCGCCTTCGGCTCACCCAATAAATTCCTCCGCCTCGCCAGATAACTTTCTCCGTCCACGGCACCAACCTATTATTCTCTATATTTTTTATTGACGCGCCTATTTTATAACGCTAACATTTAGCGCGTCTTTAAGTTATGTTTTTAAAAAGAAAATGACCTCACGTCAAAATATATGCACGGCCTTGCAATACCATTTTTACGGAATCGCAAATTTGGCACGGGAATATGATTAAGTATAATAAAACTTTCTATAATGATAGGCAGTTGTCTATCATAAACAATTAATACGGACAATAATATCTTTAATTCAGTCGTAAACGCAATACAGACGTTTGAAGTGTTGTTTACGTGACGTCACAATGCAGCGCCAAACAGCGCGTGCAAAAACCGTAAAAAAATCACTGTTGCCTATATTTTACTATAAATACTGTTTTTCGCTTGTAAAATATATAAAGAGATAAAATAAGAACACAAACAACGTTCCCAACATGTGTAACTCTCAAATTGATATGCATCAACAACTAAAAAATCAATTAAATAACGTTAATATTAGAAACAATGAGGCAAGAACAAATTTAATCACCAACAATAAAATCCGACTATAGTTTTTCTTGACGTGTTACAATGGAACAACTTTTTTGATTTTATTTGCTCTGTGTTATACATATAGCACGATAATTATATGGTTAGCTTCTTGATTTTTTTTACTCCACACCCTGATTAAAATTGTAAAATTTTGACAGAAGTAACCGAAGAAAGATATGAATATACACGAATTCTCAAACTAAACTTTAGCAATTAAATATATCTTTTGTATCCTATATACTTTATAATTTGATAGTCAACTTCTAGTTTTTGCAGAGTAAATACAAATATACGATGTGGTTTTTATATAATTAAAGTCTGTTACATACATATTATGTCATAAATGAGATAAATGTAGATATCAGCATATCTCCATATATTTATTCGATCTGAAAGAATTGTATAACAAATGATGTTTGCTTAGATGTTATGATTTGTAATTTATTGTACACATGCCATGCTCTGTTATTGTTCGGTTTTGTAAATATGTTTTGCTCTTCAATATTGGAGGAATAAAAAGTATCTATCTATCTATCTAAACATTTTAGAGTTTTCTTTCACTTCAAACAGTCTTTATCTTTGGTATTATAGCACATTTCACTCAAAACCAAAATATATTTCCTTTCTTAACCACCCTGAAATTTACTTTCTCGCCTTATTTTATACAAGATTCTAATCATACGAGTTGAAACAACTTGTTTGCCTAAGAGCATTAAGGCCGTTTTACGATACGAATTTTCCATAGAAACGAGTGTTGCATTTCGTGCGTGCGCATTCTGAGTAGGGCAAAAACAATAATGAAAGAATATATTATATTGCTATTCAACAACTTCATAAACAGTTTGATGTAATGTGAAAGATTGATCACTAGTTTAGAATAGTTTATTTTGATAAATAATCATTTTAGGTGCACGAAAGTTTGCTAGTGCATATTAAAGCACTGAACTCCTAAATAAGCGGTCGTTAATACAAAATTAATGGTTTCAAATCTCATTTTCCACAATAGCATCCAAACTTGCGTTCAGAGGTATGACGCTTCGTATATATGTCAAATTATAATACACAGAAAATTCGTTTTAAGACATTGTTCGTACAAAGGAAAAAAAAAAAAGATTGAAAACATATTTATGAAACAGGTTCTACCATAAGCTTACTTCCAGTTGTATGAAACTTTCAGTTTAATCGACAATTTCTCAATTTCTGTAATATTTCACCGCCGGGTGTACGCATTATCCAGAATCAAAATCGCATTCAACGCGAAATACTGACAAAAAAGGGAAGACTTGTGTCAAGGTATTTGGATACTAAAACTAGAAGTAAGGACATCTTCTTTGCAAAAGAAATAAATTCAAAAACATATTCTGATTGCTTTACATGACTCGTTTTGTTCAAGAAACTGGTTTTGAAAAAGTGTTCGTGGTATCAGAAATTTTGAGGATTCGCGCGCATGGCATGACCCCCTTGAGGTCGTAATTATATAAAGGTAGGATTTGCAAACTGAATTTATAAAAAAAAAGTATACAAGATGGATCACGAGAAGGTGGGAAATCCAATAATTCTGTCTTCTTCGTGAAAATGTCAATACCTGAACAAAGCTAGCACGAGGCACTTAAAATCTATGTAATTTACCATGTAAATCTTATAAAAAAAAAGAGGCAAAACATAGCCATTACTCAGTTATATGGCAGGATAAAAGTACTAAATTCAGTCAACCTTTGCACATAACACGTAATGGGTATCAGTGTTAATATAATAATCATTATCGTAAAATCTTGACTCAATCTTACGTAGATTTAAAAATATTTTCTTAAAAAAATTGTTTGCACATTGAAGACGTATGGATTTGAAAACGAATCGACTTAAAGATAGCTAAATGCAATTTTCCCCCCGATATTATTTTGTTAGTAATACGCATAATATTGTATATCCAAAACAATACATTTTTCACCTTTGTCGCGGTAAGGAGGAAGCCATTCATGCAATGTTTAAGTACTTCTATATTTAAAAAAGATATCCTAGACACTTGAGCGTTCCGC